TATTTAGTAAGCCACCTATCATATAATGGTAACATATGCTAGCTACTTATTCCACTTGTACAATTTACCAGTTGTCTTTTCACTCCCCACACCAAATCTTCCTACTCTCTTTTCTTCTTCATCTATTAAACTATTTTTCAAATGTTAGATGTCCACTTATTTTAATTATTAAATTATCAGGCTCACTTCCCACAATGAACATTTCCTGTCCTTTTAGGTATTATATTTCATGAAATGTTTCTTGGCAATGAAGAGAAACAAGTAGTAAAGGGCCGGGGATTTAGCTCAGTGGTTCCGGTGCCTGCCTCGCAAGCACAAGGTCCCGAGTTCGATCCCTGGTACCAAAAAAAAAAAAACACACACAAGCAGTAAAAATGGAGTCATCTCATATGACTGTAAATTAATCACTACAGAGTAAAGAACAGTGTATTTTAAGTTTATACTCAAAAATTACATGAGAAAAAAATTTTTCAAATTTTTCAATGTATCTTGGTCAATCTAATTTTGGTTAACAAAATAAAATTGATCCAATAACATTATATGAGATAAATAATGATGATATGTTATAAAATAAAGTCTTGCTACTGATTTTTAAAGACTATAGCAATAGATGCAGAAAAAGCATCTGACAAAATTCAATACCTTTTCATGATAAAAAAAAATATGCTCAGCAAACTAGGAACAGAAGGGAATTTAACTTGGTTAAAAAACAACAGCTAACCTCAGACTCAGTAGTGAAAGACTAAAAGCTTTCTCCTTACAGTTAGGAACAAGGCAAGGATCTCACCACTTCTTTTCAACACAATATTGGAAACCCTAACCACTCCCATAAGGCAAGAAAAGTACATTGTATAAAAGACATACAGATTTGAAAAGAAGTTAAAGTCTCTGTCTGCAGATGACATTGAACAGCCATGTGAAAAATCCTAAGGAATCTTTTTTAAAAAAGGCTACTAGAAATAACAAGTGATTCTAAGTTATTGATAATTTGTTAGTTACTTTTCTCTTGTTGCTGAGACAAAATACCCAACACTCAAAGTTAGAAGGGACAGGTTTATTAGGCTTAGAGTTCATAGAAGTTTCAGTCCATATGCCTGGCTCTGAGGCAGGCTATTTCAGGGCACTGCAGAGAAGAAACATGGCATGGACAAAGTAGCAAAAGCAACAAGAGAGAGCTTCACTATGTCTTTCTGCCTATTTTATCTCATCCAGACTACCAGGATTAGGGCGGTGCTAAACCAATCACTCATGTGTAGCGGTTTGGTAATCACATGCTGTTCAATTCCAGCATCACACATTCCAGATTCAGCTCCCTCTAACCAAATGAGGCTTTGGGGGGACATCTAGACCCAAAACATAACATTTGCATTTAATCACAATTTTAAAACCTCTGTGCTTCAAAAGTAACTGTTAAGAAAAATTAAAAGGCACAGCAAAGAATGGGAGGATGTATCTGCCAAACATATGTGTTAAAGAACTAACGTCTAGGGGCCGGGGATTTAGCTCAGTGGTTTCACTGCCTGCTGTGCAGGAGCAAGGACCCGAGTTCGATCCCCGGTACCAAAAAAAAAAAAAAGAACTAATGTCTAAAATATATAGTAATGGGCCAGGGCTTTAGCTCAGTGGCACTGTGCCTGCCTCAAAAGCGCAAGGTCCTGAGTTCAATCCCCAGTACAAAAAATATATATATATATATATATATATATATATATATATAAAATAACTTTTATAGCTTAGCAATAACAGGACGAATGACTTGATACTAAAATGGAAAAAATTTTGAACAGATGCTTCATCCAAAAAGTTATACGAATAGCAAATAAGCACATGGGAAGATTTTCAACATCATTAGTCATCAGTAAAAATCGAATTAAAGCCACAATGAAATACCACTACACACCCACTAGCATGGCTAAAATTAAAGACTGAAAATATCAACTGAGAGGATGTGTAGTAACTAAAACTCATATTGCTGGTGGAGAGCACAAAATGTTGCAAACACTTTAGAAATGTTTGGCAGTTTCGTATAGAGTTAAACTTACATTTACCATATGATATAGTAATCCGAGTCTTAGGTGAAAAACATATGAAAATGTATATCCACATGAAAACTAGCACTCACAAGTTCATAGCAGCTTTAATAATAACCAAGGACAAGCAACAAGTCAAATATTCATCTATTAGTAAATGAATAAATTGTATTCTATCAAATCAATTAAACATTATTAAGCAATAAATAGAAGCTCTACACATCTCCAATGTGTATAAATACAAAAGCATCATGCTGAATGAAAGAACTAAATCAAAAGACTATATGCCTTATATGCCATTTATATTAAACCCTACAAAATGGAAAACTGTAATGACAAAAAGAACCAGATCAACAGTTCTAAGGGTCAGATGAAAAAGAATCTACTGGCCCAGGGATTTAGCTCAGTGGTTTCGCCGCCGGCTGCGCAAGCAGCAAGGACGCGAGTTCGATCCCCGGTACGAGAAAATAAAAATCTAAAACTAGTTTTTGGGCCGGGGATTTGGCTCAGTGGTACCACCGCTTTCCTTGCAAGCACAAGGTCCCAAGTTCAATCCCCAGTACCAACAAAACAAAACAAAAAAGAGTACAATACTGTGATTCCAGTAATACAATATCTTTTTTTTTTTTTTTGGTACCAGGGATTGAAGTCGGGTCCTTGCGCTTGCGCAGCAGGCGGCGAAACCACTGAGCTAAATCCCTCGCCCAGTAATACAATATTCTTTCTTTTGGGGCCGGGGATTTAGCTCAGTGGTTTCGCCGCCTGCTACGCAAGCGCAAAGACCCAAGTTCAGTCCCCGGTACCGAAAAAAGAAAAAGAATCTACTGCAAAAGAGCATGAAGAAAATTTGGGGGTGATGGAAAATTTGCAGGGTTTTATATTGTGCTGGTGGTTAAATAATTGCATATAATTTTCCAACCATAGACTTGTACACTTAAAATTGGGATTTTATTGCTTAGAAATTATATCTCAGAAACCTTAATTAAACAAAAAGCCTTGTTCTATTGTTCTACTGAGATAAAATCTTATCTGGTGTAACAGTGTGATTATAAAACATTACAAGAAGATATCACAGAATTTCTTGTGTAAGTTTGGTAGAGTTCTGGGATGTTCTAAAAGTAGAAGTCAAGGAACAATGACTAACAGGCCCACAATGGCCTACATAAAAAGAGATAATACAAATTTTTATTTCCCCCATTAGTATCACTTCTTTGTTTACAGATTACCCTTTTGGATGAACAAACAATTAAAAAGAAACGAGGTACAGAGTTTCAGTTGAAAAAGTTCAGATGAAAAAGTTCTACAGATGAATATAAAAAAATGCAAATGTACTTAATGCCACAGAACAGAACACTCAAAAGTGGTTAAAATGGTAAATTTTATATTATGTATATTTTATCAAATAAAAAAATTTTTAATGGGAAAAAAGAAGCATTAGTAAGAAAATGTACGTAGGGCCGGGGATTTAGCTCAGTGGTGCCGCTGCCTGCCTCACAAGTGCAAGGTTCTGAGTTTCATCCCAGGTACCAGAAAAAAAGAAAATGTATGTAAATCTGGAAATCCATGGGAAGTTACAATTCAAAATAGTTCCTTTGGGCTGGGGATTTAGCTCAGTGGTTCCGGCACCTGCCTCGCAAGCGCAAGGTCCTGAGTTCAATCCCCCATACCAAAAAAAAAAAAAGTTCCTTTGGTTCCTAATCTATTGCATGAAATCAAGGTTAAAAGTGGTTACAGTATTAGGTATGATTTTACTAGTTAAAGGAAATTGTGCTTGCCAATTCTTAAGTCTATTTGTAATGTTTAGGACTCTACCAAAGGTCAGTTTTTGCTTAAAGCAGTTTAACTGAATTGTCTCTAGTAGTCAGGAAAAACATTGGGAGACAAATTCATGAGCAAGCCTGGGTCCAAGAAAGTTCTACATTTGGCCCAAACACAATTCATTTTGCCATCTAAATTAATCTGCAAACTGAACTCTGCATAAATATTCAAAACATGTTACTAGAAGTCCCTGAGTACTCCAGAGTTAAGTGAGGTTACAAGAACTCCCAAAATAAACATCAAATTTCGTGTTATTTGGGCAATTCATTATCTTGTTGTTGTTTGTTTTTTAATTTTCTTAAATTTATATGGAAAACTTTTTTTCCAGTACCAGGAATCAAACTCAGGACCTTGTGCTTGCCAGGCAGGCACGGCAATGCTGAGCTACATCCCTGACCCTGAAAAACTCTTTTAGACTAAAATATGTTTTCTATTTCACATAGATTGTTGTACAGTAGATCTCCCAAACATCTTATCTCATAAAACTGAAACTGCTATTTCATCAGAAGGGAGCTCTAAAACATGTAAAAACAGAGGATAGGTGATGGTTTCTCTTTTTTAAGCAAAGAATTTCTTTATAGAGTGTACAAAGTAACATTACAGTTTCTTTTAAAGTAAAGGAATTTCTCTTAGCACCAAAAATAACATCTTATTCATTTTTATGTTCACAATATCTAGCTATATAAAGCACTCAATGAATGCTGTTAACAGTGCCCGAGGAAACTTTACAATATTTCATAATCTAATTTCAATTTATTCTTACCTACTCAATAATATAGCTCCTTGAAAACCACCACCATGAATACACTGTTAGCTTATGTTTGCCCTGCTTTTTATTTTTTGACAGACATTTGTTTTTTTTCAAATTAATTTTATTGGTACATTTTAGATATACATAATAATCACATTCATCATAGGGAATTTGTACCTATACATATCTTGATTCTTCTTTTTTCCCCAAACCCCTTCCATCCCTTTAATTTCTCTTCTCTTCCTTATTTACAAAAGCTTTGTTTCCATTTGCCCTGCTTTTTAAAAACTTTCTTTAAAAAAAAATGTGCAGGCAATTCAGGTTTCAAATTTCCCAGCTGACCCTACTCACATAATAATCAATTCATATAAATGGTACATAAACATAAGCTTTCTACTTACCATGTAGTTACCATAAGCATGATCAAACATTTCCAGTACTTGATTCCTATTTTGAAAAAAACAGAAATGGAGAAAATTATATCTTACTTATTGTTTCAAAAAGCTAATTCTTCCTCATAAAAACACACCAAGAAAAAAAAGGTAATATTTAGTTAGAAGGGGACACAAAGTCAGGAAATACACCAGTTATTAGACAAGTTCAAGAACTCATACAAAGAGCTAGGCCAAACTTTTACAATTCCTAGCAAATTATGTGAAACTCACTTCACATTTTCCTAAAAAATCTATTGAATGATACCTGCTACAATCAAGGCAAAGGTAAACTGATGCTGAAAAACAATTACTGTACCTTTCAACATAATTATTTAACATGTGTCTTAAAGGGGAAATACTGCTAGAGAGCTCCCAAAGGAAATAATTATTAGTACCATTTACTGATTATCCTGTATGTTCTACTAAAAGAGAGGGGTGGGATGATAACTAGGAAACAGGAAACAGTATTTTATCAAGCCTCTGCCTTTCCTATTAATCTGAATAAAAACACCAATGCCTAGTTTAAGTACCTATTTATTAATGTTTGCCATATTTTAAAAAGATATTTTATGATATATAGTCTACTCCCTTAAAAAACAGAAAAAATAGTAGTCAGCTCTATAATGAGAAATCTAAGGTTCAAAACGAAATTTGTGTGGTTTGGCTTACCTATTTCAAGATGGTTGTTTAAAATGGGTATTTCATATCCCCATACTGGACTAAAAATCCTGTAAATTTGGAACTAAGGAATCAGTCTGTGAAACATTCTCATATTCAGGGGCTTGAGTGCTACAGGAAAACCAGATATCCAATTTTTAAAAATATGTCTTTCTTCATTTTTAATAATTTCTATAAGTCAGCTTTTTCTAAAGTTAGATTGCTTGCCAACTCTAGAGTAAATGGATTGTTTTATACTCATTTTTAAATAAAAAGATAACAAAACCCATATATCTATGAAGGATAAGAGTAAATGTGATTACATAGATAATCCACAGCTTACAAATAGCAAATAATTGAGCAACTGCTTGCCATTAACAATTCCAATTCTTTTTTTTTTTTTTAAATCTGTTTGGTTTAGGGGTGTAGAGAAAGGGTTGTGACATTTTCTGTGTTTTATCATAAATCATTATTTGAGCTTTCTTTAAAATCACTCAATTAAACCTAGTGAATCAGAGTTCAGTTTTCTGAAAATTCCCAAAGGGGAAAGCCGTCAGGTATTTGTGGTTTGTGTTGAGACTCTTTACCCTTACCCTATAGTAGGGCAATCTAAATTAACAAACCTAAATATTTGTGATTTCTCTTTTGCAAACTGATGTCAAAATGTAATTTCAGGTCAATTTGGTTGCATTTTTCCAGTTAAAAATTAAATTCTTTAGTGGGCATGGTGGTCATGCCTATAATCCCAGGGCTCTGGAAAGCTAATATTTCTCTTCTAAACCTTAAGAAATGCAGCACAGTGGACAGAGTATGGGCTCTGTGGTTAGACAGTCCTAAGTTTGAAAAAAGGCTCTATCAATTACTAACTTTGCAATTCCCAACAAGTTAACCTTGAATCTTTTATTTTAGCAAAATGGATATCCCACCCATCTTATGAATAGCGAGGATTACAGGGATAATAAAATACTATTTTACATATTTTTAAAGTACTCAAAGAATGGGGTATTCGGTAAAAAATTATCAGTGATACACTGAATTCATAAGAGAATATTTAGGATGTTTATTAGAGCTTATTGGTAATTGTTTTGATAGTCAATACTTCATCTTCCACTAAGGATCCCTTTTTACAATTTTATTTAAAAATTAATACAAAGATTCTTGTAATGATTTAAAGAAGTATATAAACCAGGCATGGTGGCACACATCTGTAATCCCAGCCTTCTGAAGGCTGAGGATTGCTGTGAGTTTGAAGCCACCCTGGGCTACACAGTGAGTTCAAGGCCAGCCTGAACTACATAGTGAGACCCTGTCTCAAAAAAAAGGGGGGGGGGGAAGAAGAATATAAATTAAAACCTGGGCCAGGGATTTAGCTCAGTGGCACCGTGCCTGCCTCGAAAGCATAAGGTCCTGAGTTCAATCCCCAGTATGAAAAACACACACACACACACACACACACACACACACACACACACAAACCTGATGGTTCCACCTTCTTTTCATCCTAACACTATGACATACATTATCTTCCTACTTTTTTCCAAGCTTATTTTTTCTTTACAAAAACACAAGGTATCAAATATATATATATAAATATATATATATATTTATATATATATATGTATGTATATAACTCCTCAACTTGCTTTTTTGGGGGGGCTCTTGGGAATAAATCCTAGGTAGCCTTCTAAAAGCATACTTCTGCCGGGGGTTTGGCTCAGTGGTTCTGCTGCCTGCCTTGCAAGTGCAGGGTCCTGAGTTTGATCCCCAGTACCAAAAAACAAAAAAATAAAAGCATACTTTTGTCTTCTTAATGCACATTAGTCCATGAAAACGATGCAAAATATTCAACCATTTCTCTCATAGGAACAGTTCTGTTCTTTCAACATGCACACCTTTGTACATTTATCTGTACATTAACAGTGCTTGTATTTCTGTTGGGTAGATTCCAGAGATAGGGATTGATTAATGAATCAAAAAGTGTGCAAGATTTAAATTTTAGGACACTGGCAAAAAGTTACATTAACTTACATTCGCAGTAAGGTTTTCTTTTTTCATGCCTTAAATAGCCAAGACTGTATCCCCAAGTTTTGTATTTACTAATCTGACGAGCAAAAACAGCTATCTCGTTTTAATTTGGATTTCTCACATTGATGAGGTTGAGTAACTTTTCATGTTTATCTCATTTCCTCTTCTCTGACTTAAACTGCTCATGCTTTTGCCCACTTGCTATTGATTCTCAGCTTTTATTCTTTTCTGGGGCCCCGTGCATATTAGTATTACTGACTCTGAACTAAACGCTGTAAATATAACTGAGTTTTATGACACTCTGAAGACTGTGAGTAAAGTAATAAGGTACACTTAATTATGGCTTTTGAATAATACCAACAAATAGCCTCTTCTACTATGAAAAGGCAATACAGGAAAACATTGCAAGGAACGGGTAAAATTTGTGAAGTTCAAGTTCCAATGAACGCCCCTCTTTACAAATGTAAACACCATTTCCTTAATTATGTCAAGCCAGCAACATTTTTCCATCTGGGAGCTCACTTGTGCGAGAAACCCAACCATGCCTCCGTCGGAAAGGCAGCCGCTGGACTTTCGCGCGCAGCCACACAGGATGTAGCCCCCTTCACGGGCCACTGACCTGACAGCCGCGTGGACATACCAGCTGGCCTCAAGGAACTCGCACCTGTCACCGACCTCCAGGGCGACACGGTGACTGACCCCCATCTTCCCGGACCCTGCCCACCCGCCAAGATCCTCGCTCAGTAGCAGCTGTTCCAATCGCGAGTGGAGACGCCACTGCGCGCCTGGGTTGCAATGACAGGCACCTCGCCCTTGGTCAGCTCTACCAGGAAACCCACCCAGACAGCCAAACACCCTTACCCAAGCTTCTGTTTCTCCTCCCTGTTCATGGGTGTGGCCCCCGCCGTCCACACAGACGTGGCCGACACCAGGTAGAGGGCGGTCGCTGCGGCCACCAGGTTCCATGGCGCTCGCTGGGGAACCGGGGACCCACAGCCCAGGGCGCCGCCGGCTTCGCTCATGGCCCCGCGGTTCCACGCACGCGCAGCTGCTACGCCCGGTCGGTGGGACACATCGCCGGACGCCGGTGGCGAGGGTGCTGCAAGCCGTGACGGGGACTGGGTGTGGAACGAGGCGGGCAGTTGCCGGCGTCAGTGTTTGCCGAAGCCACCAAGCTGGTCCCCACCACCAGCGCTGCCGCTGCCACCGCCCTCCGCCCTCTGCCCTCAGCAACCCGGAGCGCCTCCCCCAGCTTTCCGGTGTCGTAGTCTAGGAAACCGCCTCCCCCAATGCTACTTCCGGGCAAGGCCAGAGTCGTGGAGCCTGGGGACCAACGGAGGCCGCATCGGAGAGAGGCTAGCCCCGCCACAGGCGACGTCACTGGCCAGGAGAAGCGCGACGTGGTCAGAAGGCGGGACGAGGGAGGACCCGTCGTTTCCAAGCTCCTGAGAACCGCGGAGTTGCCACCGAGGACTACCAGTCCCAGCGTGCCCTGCGGGCTCCCGGCGTGCCTGCCGGCGCTCGCAGCCTCTGCGAGGGAGTTCCGCCCTGGGTGGCGCGCCGCATCCTGGCCCCCGGGGTCGCTTGTGGCTTCCGGGGCGCCCGTTTCCTGGCCCCCTGCAGCTCTCTGCCGCCTGTGAGCTGCAGTCAACTGCTGGTCTCTTCCTGAGAATGAGGTTTCCCTGCCGGCCGTCTGGGTGAGAGCGTTGTCTCCGCAGGTACAGCATGCCTTAGTCACTGGTGTTGGAGTAGTCCTCTCCTTTCTGTGAAGTTAGGATACACGAAAACCTTTGCTGTTATCGTGCTGAGAGTTTCATTTGCATTATTATCTCAACTGGACGTCTAAAAGGTAAGTTACAGGTAAGTGTCCCCTTTGGCACGTGTGGAAACCACGGCTTAGCGAAGTTGGTTAACAAACCCGCGTCCACACTGCAGCAGGCTTGGGTTCCAGCCAGCCTCTGATTCGGCCGTCCTGAATGGAATCACTGAGCCGCAAAGCTAAGGCTGTACGCAAGATCTAGGGCATTGAGTAACAGTTATGTAAAAAGCTCAGGAGCCGTGCGGGCTCCAAAACAAAATAAAATGTTAGGGAAGAGATTGGAGCTTGCAGTTTGTGATGACTGATTCCCAGGTTGCCCGTTAGTAAAACGATCAATAGTTACCTTTTGGAAAAGCAGATTTGCTTTCTGTTGTAGTAATTCAGTAGGTAGGTAGGGATTGGATGTGATCTCTGTAAGTATAATAAACTGCGTACGCATTCCCTTGCCCAACATCCAGCTCTAGACATTTTCTTTCTTGGCTTCTGTCACCTCATTTCTTACCTTTCTGACTGATCATTCAGGCAACATCAGTGACTGTTCCTTCATTTCCTACTTTCTTAAAATACAGATGTTCCCTTAAAGTTTGTTTTTTTTTTTTATCCTTTTTTTCTCTTTGTATTCTACTTATTCCTTGTGTCCTGTTTATATTACTTAAGAGTATCGCGTCAATGTGCATCCATTTAGCTATAAATGTCTCTAATTTCTCATTTTTTA